ACTTGAATTACCTATCCAAATAACACTTGATTACTAAATATCTTATTTAACTAGCAAAAAATTTTGTATATAAAAATTTTTTTTATATATAAACAATTATTTTCTCTAATGTATGAAGATAATTATCTAATTTAATAAAATAAATACAGCACCTAAGTCACTAAAATCCTTCAGTTTATAAATTATATTTAATCATAATTACTTGTAAAAAGTGCCAAATTAATATCTGAAAAATAAAATCATAGAACACAAAAATAATTTTAAATTTTAATAATGGAAATCATTTTTCAATTTTTGTTTTCAATTCGACAAGACAGTCAATTCAATAGACAGCAGAATTTTAAATATCTAACTTTAGTTGATATCTGAAATATAAGCAGAGATAGTATACTTTACATTTTATAAAATAATCTGTTACTTCATAACTTATAATTTTGTCTAGTAACTTAAAAAAAATAATATACCACAGTTCAGAAAGATTAAAAAATTGTTGTAAAAATTTTCATTTGGGCCATATAAAAAGTGAGAAAATTAATAAACTAGACAAGGAATAATAGATATTAATCTCATTTGATCTGTAAGTAGTTAATAAGCAGCTTATATATGTAAACACTTATCAGTTATCTCAAAGTCAAATGGAAACCAAACAAAATTTCTGCATTTTTCTTAATTTTGGTTGGTTTTAAATGTGAATTTTATATCTAAATTAATATTAGAACATTGATGAAAACATGTTAAGTATTGTGTCATTTTGTGTAGTAGTAGTATTAATTAAAATTGTAAAAAAAAATGATTTAATTCACAAAAAAACTTTAATTCATATTAGTTTTTACAATATAGTATATTTATTATTCATTCGTTTTGTTTGTATTTTTATTGAAGTTAAACTGATAATTTGTTTAAAAAAACTTTAAGCCATTTTAAATTATATGCACATATTGCAATATAAATCCAGTTTGTAATAGTTTTTCATTCATGTTTCATTATGAAACTAGTCCAAACTAATTTTCTCCAAGCATATTAATTTTAATACTACTTCTGGGTCAAATTTTATTTTAAAAAACCCTTTACAAGCTTTAATAAAATGAAAATAAAAACTATGTATTTAAAATTATGAATGAATTTTTTGTATTTATAATTATAAATTAACAAAAATACCAATCCTATTCATAAACAACATATAAAATAGTACACACCCATTTAATAATCAATGCTGTAAATAATTTTAAAAAGGGTCATTTTTTAATACTAAATGACATTTTCTGAAGAGTTACAAATAAAAAGATATTTATTTATATATATTTATATTATATGAAGAAATATTAAATTATTCCCATATGCATTATATATTAAATCTAGAGCTAACTACATTCAACAATATATTGTACAGAGAACAATTAATATTTACAGTACATCGTCTGCTTTTATATTTATATTTAAACGTTCTATATTTACTGCTTTACATACTGCAACAAATTATAGTTGATAATATTCTACAATTGTCTTAATTTCTAGATCAAGTTTTCTAAATTGGTGTTATTTGGTTTAATAATAATCTTAAAATGAGATCCAATGAAAAAGCTATATGTATATATATAAAAATCACAAAGAAAAATTTGAATTTATAGAAATTTATTAGATATTAAAAAAAATTAAAAAGTTATAGAAAAAGTTATCATTGAAAAGTTTTCAATGATAAAAATCACAAATCTATTCTATATTATTACTATATATATTTTCTATTTTAAAATAGGAAACTTAAATATAACATAAACTGCCAAAAATGTCTCATGCTTTTCAGTTAATTGCTCAAAGTTTTTATATATTTACTATAATAAAATTTTCAATTTATACTCAATCCTAAATACTTTTAAATAACCTATAACATTTTATTATATTTTATAATTAAAAGTTTGGGATCCTAAAATAATTATTTTTATAAAATGTTTTAATGTTTTATAATGAAAATTCTAAAATAAATTTTGGGTAGAATTTCTTCACATTGATGTGCTGTAACTTGATTAATTTGATCAACCCTTTTATCTTTGGAATTCATTTTATAATATTTGTTTTTCATAGAATAATTAAAATGTTGAAAGGATTCTATGTATTTAATATTGCATCAATAACTGTAATTCTACTCCTATCATTTATAATTAAGAATCATTTAAAATTTGATTTTGAAAAATAAAATGTATGAATTTAAAATATTTCATTTATGATCACGTTAATTAAAAAATGGTTATAAAAATTCAACAATAAATTTATGATTTCATTTCAAATAATTTTATATTTTGAAATTATATGCTATTGAAGTTAACATATTCAAATTAATTTTAAATTTTTTTTGTTTAAATCAAATTACTATTAACTTGTATATTGAAAGATTGATATTATTTTTCACATAACACTCTTGTAATAAGTTTTATATATATATATATGATATATAAATTTAATAAAAGAGTAATAAAAAGTTTAATTCATTTTATAAAATGCTGTTATATAAAGTAAAACATGTCTTAACTTTCCTCTTGTTAGTTCTGTTATTTTGTTAGGATGTCTATTTTTGAGATAACCCTTAGGATAAATATAGTAACACAATAATATGTAAGCATTTATAAACTTCACAGTAATACTTGAAGTTGCAATGTAATTGTAATTAACCTGTATTTGTAATTCTTAACCTTATTTAAACAGCCTAAATAAAATTAATAATTATTTTTCAGAAAAAAAGCTTTGTATGATATTTCTGTATATAAAGTTTTTCAAATACTAAAATTAGTCACTATAAAAGCCAATATGAATTAAACATACACCAAAATGAGTAAAAATATTTGCATTATTAACTTTTAACTCAGACCTATGCTTTTACATAGATATTTTTTTTATTAACTATCTAACAATTCCTATCATCTTACAACAAAACTATCGTATTACAAATTTCTATACTACTCTAGAAAACATCATCAAAATAACTACATAATGCCTATGATCATAATTACAAGCAGTTAAAAATTTATTCTATTAAACAAAACTATGTTTCAGCAATCTGAAAACCATAAATTGCAATAAAACAATCATGCAATAACCTTATGTATTAATATAATTAATAAAAAAACATCAGTTTTACTTTTCCTAAAATAAACTTAATTTTTAATTAAAAATTCTACTTCCAATCTTAAAAGAAAAATTGTTTTTAAGTCACAATAATTAAATATTACATCACTCATTTCTTATAATGATTCAATTCATATTCAAACTGTAAAATTTAGGTCAAATGCATCTTTTAGAATTGCCCATTTGAGAATGTGAATTATGCCCTAAATAAAAACATTTATTAGTAAAACACATTTTGAAATTATTTTAAACAAAAAATTTCAAAAATTTACAGACTACCAATAATTAAAAACAGATTAGAATTTCTAAACTGTGGGGTGGAAAAAAATATATACTGTATATATTAAATACATTTGAAACAAAACAACTCCATAAAACTTTCAAAATTAAGCAATATTTTATCCTAAATATTAATACTGGTTATGTAATGACAAAACATTTTTCTAATTAAATTTTGAATAATTTGATTATTTGTATAATATAATTGGTTAATTTAAAATCAATCTTGCATTTTTCAAATATATTTTATATATATAGCTTACAGATTTACAACTTACTATTTGAAACTATCATAATTACTAAATCATTCCATAACTTCCAAAATTAAAGATTAAAATGAATTACACCTTTTTCTAAATTTTATATAAATGAAACTAATTACATATATGCTTCACTACAAATTTTAAAATTCTATATAAGCTTGTAATATATTGGAGAAACAAAATTTAAATGCAAAAATAGCACAAAGTTAGAATTTATTACAAACTTTTCAAATAGAAAACACTTTTGCAGGTAGGCTCTTTAACCGAGGTTACCTAGTGAACAGTTTACCTAGTAACAACTGAAAAATTTAATCAATATTACTACAAAACTGAAAATAACTGCAATATGATATACACCTTTTTTTTTTTTACATTAAAGAATCAAAGGATTTAATAAGCATAACCTGCGATAAAAATTTTTCCATCACTCCTATATAAAACTACAAATTATCACATTTACATATTTTTAGAATTTAGTTTGGTTATGCAGTTATCAATTTATGCAATTAATGGATACAAAATTACATTTTTACATGCTCAATTACCATCTCTCAAAATATTTATTATTATTAAATGCATTTTAAACAAAAATTTATTAAAATAAATATCAAACAATTACCTAATTAAAATCCATCCAAACGTTTTTAAGTAATTAAAAATTTATTAGTCGCAGAAGTATGCACGCTAAGAAACAACTTACACTTTAATAAAATGTATTCTAGAAATAAACCATTAGTTTCCTGAATAATCTTTTATTGTAATATTTCAATAATTTCAACAAATATATATGTTATTAAATTACATTAAAGGTTAATTACATATTATTCTGCAAAGATCTTAATTTAAATACTTTAATATATTATTACATGAAATTTGTCTGTATTAATGAAATGTATATCACACTATTTCAAATTTACACTACTGTTAAATAATTGAATTTAGCAATTGGCAAGGCCAATTATCATTTATAAATTCTTTTATCCATTTAATTAATATACATTGGAACCAACAGGAAATTATAATAGGAAAAAAATATATATTTTTTTTGTAATATATCCACATCAAAGTACCTAACCCATAAATCTAATTCTATAGCTTTAACTATCTTTGAATGTAATTCTCACCCTCCTAAGTCTTATTTAGTAAAATGTAAAGTGTTCTATGGTGTACTTTTTTTCTTTACTAATCTCGTGTTAACACACCTTATACCTTTCCAACCGAAAAATAGATATTTAATGCAAATCAACCGAATTAAATCCGCCCGGATCATAAATATATTAATAAACAATATTAACTTATAATATAATTCAAATAAGGTGTTAAAATTATAATTGAAGGTACCTGATCATCGTCTTTGCCTTTCGTAGCCATTTTTCCTCTCTAAAGCCAAGCCAGACGAAGACTGACGTCAATACAGCAAAGCGTCTCGACACTACCGCTATGGACGGCCAAACGACACAAACCTCAACTCTGATAGGTCGAAATTTTTCGATTTTGCAGTAATAGCGGTTTTGCAATAATTTCGTAGAAATTTATTACAATTATTATTTCCTTCTGTAATATATATAATTTAATTCTGAACAATTCGNTAACCCATAAATCTAATTCTATAGCTTTAACTATCTTTGAATGTAATTCTCACCCTCCTAAGTCTTATTTAGTAAAATGTAAAGTGTTCTATGGTGTACTTTTTTTCTTTACTAATCTCGTGTTAACACACCTTATACCTTTCCAACCGAAAAATAGATATTTAATGCAAATCAACCGAATTAAATCCGCCCGGATCATAAATATATTAATAAACAATATTAACTTATAATATAATTCAAATAAGGTGTTAAAATTATAATCGAAGGTACCTGATCATCGTCTTTGCCTTTCGTAGCCATTTTTCCTCTCTAAAGCCAAGCCAGACGAAGACTGACGTCAATACAGCAAAGCGTCTCGACACTACCGCTATGGACGGCCAAACGACACAAACCTCAACTCTGATAGGTCGAAATTTTTCGATTTTGCAGTAATAGCGGTTTTGCAATAATTTCGTAGAAATTTATTACAATTATTATTTCCTTCTGTAATATATATAATTTGCAATTAATATTTGTTTAATTATTTAATAAAATAAGTAAATATTTCTGCCGCCATTTTGCATTTTTTTTAATTTTTTAGTGAATGTAGTGGAGGGTTAACTTATCTCGTTTTTATATTATTTACTCTTCGATATCGTTCTGATAGATAAAATATATTTCGATTTAATTTTATGAAATTTTATGGGGATAATTTGTTTTAAGTGTTGCCAGAAATTATTTAAAAATTTTAAATAATTTCTGGAAAAAATGGAATTTTTTTAAAAGCGGTTTTGTTTTATTAGGTTATTTATTCAGAAAAATTCTCCGTAATAAAGTTCTCTTTAAGATTTTATAAATAATCCGATCCTCCCACAAACATCCTGAAAAAAAAGGAAGATGAAATCTTTTATATCTTTTATGAACACATTTTTTGGAAAAATTTTGGCTACGTTACCGAAGTTATTTTTCTTACACCATATATTTTAATTTTAATCAAGATAAAAAAAAAAACTAAAACGTAACGATAATGATTGCGAGTTGAAACGTTTATATGTGACTTAAATGAGGTCAACGTTATAAAACTAAACAAAAGTAAAATGTTAGCGATCTGTAATCTTTGAAACATGATTTATGTATAAAAATTTAATCAATTTTTGCCTTATATATTTAAAAACGCAATGAAAATATAATCGCAAAATATTAAACAGCGAAATTTATATGTAAATTAAAGTATACAACTTGATTAAATTTTTTTTTATTAATTTTATGCTTAGAAAAAGTACAAGTATTGATATGAATGACAGTGTGATAATTTTCCCCCAAAGATCTTGAAGTATGACGAATCATATTTTTCAGTAATAAGTTTCTTTCTCTACCCATCCTCCTGGATTTCGTCTAAGGATATACCTTCGTGTTTCATCATAGACGAAAATCAAGAGTGAAAAGGGTAACGCTGGTAACCACCAACGAAATCTGAAAATTTAAAAGTTTATTGTAAATTAATTATAATTAAAAAATGATATATGTATATAATTATGCATATCTAGTTAAATATTTATATAATTAATTACTTATTTATTGAAATGTTAATATTAATTTTTTCTGTCATATAAATTTTTTTTTGAAAAAAAATCATCAATGTTGTCAGCGTTTTATTTTTAAATATTTCCAGTATTAAAAATATATTTTTATGAATAAATTTTAAATAAATTATTAGTCAACATATTTTTAAAAAATCTCATGACTCTCTTGTATATTTTAATTATGATATCACATATTAGATATTGCTATCAGTAATTTTTTAATTCATTATAATTCTATAAACAAATCAAAAACTAAGTCTTTTTTAGTATTTCGCAACTCGTCTTCCTTAACTAACTTGATAAATTTCGTTTGTTATCTTCGGAATTTTAAAATTTTACTTTGAAATAACTTATTTCATAGAGAAAAATGATGTAAATGAATATTTGAACTTTATGAAAATCGATTAAAGTAACACGAAGCTATAATATTTTGAAATGCACTGTACTTCTTATTTAACATTTAACTTTTCATAATTCCTTTGCAAATTATCTTAAGATATTTCTTTCCTTACGAAATTTAAATTCCGAAATTATAATAATATTTTTTATTAATAATTAAAATAAAATTGTTGTAAAACCTAGCAGTTAATTTTTTATCTCCAGCAATTAAGATTTGTTGAACAGATAAAATATTTTTATGTATATTCTATGTACATAAGAAATTATATTGAAGAAAGCTATAAAGAAGCGTTACTCACTTTATAGGATATGTCTTCAAAGCTATATCCATTCCAGGACAGTATGAAATGAAAGCTGCTGCTGCAGTCTCAAACACAAGACCAAAATTTAACATGTGATTTCTGTATAAAGAAATTATATTTAACTTGTTAATAAATATTGCGTGTTAAAAAATTTTAAATAAACTATTTTATTCATTACATAAAAAAAATTATATTTTATTCTTTGGAAATTTAATAATTCATATTCTATAATTTACACAGCATTTAATTATAAATCAAAAAATAAATTATCATCTTCTTTCCATCATTATTAATTTTTTCGTGTTTGTGATTTAAGTTAAAAAGGTTAATTTCGAAGCTATAAATTAAATCATGTTAATTTTCTGAAATAATAGTTTTTTAAATTTTCTAAAACATTAATGTTTTAGAAAATTTATTGTTAGAAATTATCTATAATGTTGGAATTTTAATTTTAAAAGTTTTGATAAATTTTTAAAATTAACTAAAATTTGTAGAGTTTATTAATTTTTTAATTCCTTCTTTTTATAATTAATAAATTTCTATAAATAAAAATATATAATTCCATTTTCTAACTAAGATATTGAGTAAAAGTAAATTATTTCTAAAATCTTTAAGTTGAAAAAATTTCGAGTGTAAACTACTTTATCATTTCAAATGATGTATTTTATAGTTATAATTATGGAACTGAACACAAATAAAATAATTTTTAAACATCTTTAAAGTTATAAAATATTCTAAACCCACAAGGAAGTTTAGTACAAACTTTAGATTTTGAAAATTATTTTCTGAAAATTAACTATTAACTTTATAAATTAATAAAATCTTCACTAAACATATAATTGTTCAGGAATATTTAATTAATTAAAAAAAATTACTTCATTCCCTGTTGAAGAATAGAATTTCTGCGAGTCTTACAAATTATGAGATCGGCCCATTGTACAATTACTATAGAGATAAAGAATGCAGTTTGGCAAGTATATTCCAATATTTTCCTAGAGTTATAAGTCTGTAAAATAATTAAGTAATTTTTTTAATATTTTAATATAAACATGCAAAGTTATTTATATAAATAATATTTATTAATAAAATTCATCTTTTTGTTTAAATCTTTAATATATAAATAAACTTGTATGAAACTTTAGCCATGCTACTAAAGTTGCATTCATTAACCAAAAACAATCCATTTACCGTTACATAATATATATAAATATATATAGTAATTTTTATCTGTTTACTATTTAATGAATCATACATTAAAGAAAATAATCAAAGTTATCAATTCTGGACATTTATGTTACTAAGGTAATAAACTTTATGTAGTCATAATATTAGAAGTAGGGCTATTGCTTAATAGTAATAAATCCGATAGTCGTTTTTGCGTTATTAAATTAGCAATTAAATTTTTATATCGTTAACAAATGCATAATATAAATCTTTATAAAGTAAATTAAAGAAATCTTAAATCAATTTTATCTATTCAAAAACGTGATCTTACATATTCTATGTAATAATGTATTTATTTAACAGTACAATGATAATATATGAATATATATCTTATACTTTTAGTATGAAATGCTATTTAACAAATATAAATAATAAAGTGTATTCATCTATAGTAGAAGCGCAAATGAATATGCAATAATAACAAAATTATTTAAACATTTTGACTTACGACAAAATAATTTTTAGCCTTAATTGGCTTTATATTAATTACGCCAATATATGGCCAATTAAGGCTGAAAGTCGATTACATCATTTTGCCATTATTGCACATTCATAATAACAATAAGGCATAATTTAATAGGCTTTTAAATTATAACATCAAACTGATTTATCGGGACAAAATCCACAAATTCTGACGTCCAAAAATACATTTTACAAATTACTGAAATTTTATAATAATAAGATACAAATTAACTGTATTTAAAATTAAAAAAAATACATAAATTGATATATTTGAAATGAACTTATATTAATAAACATCTAAAAATTGTATATTTTAGTATTTATTTTGTGCAATTTCATGAATAAATTATGCTATGTTAACTTTATTTACTTTTATATAAGTATTGTATATGTATTATATTTCGGGGTTTTCTGTCTTAAATAAAAAAAAACAAAAAAACAAAAAAAAACAAAAACAAAAACTTGTACGATAAGTCATCTGCAGGATCTGCATTTGATTTTACAGAACAAACATTGCGAAATTTACTGAATTATATTTATCAAATCATCGTGATTGAATTTTCAGTTGTAATTGAAACCATATTTTCAAGATGTTTGCTGATTAAACACGTACCCATTCTTGATTGTATGAATCTTTAAGATCATTAACTGCTTTACTATCCCACGATTTTCTCAAACCAAACAAGTGAATAGGCCAAAATCCATTTTCTCCCATTATAACAAAATAAGTGAAAAATCCAGCAGCAGCTTGCATCATTCCAATCTGTCCATAAGACATTGATATTAACCTATATTAAACAAGTGAAAACCAGTTATTACATTCATAAAGTTATAAGCAAAAATTATAAATGTATTTAATACCTCTCGTTTACTAGTTTATCTTTAATTGGGTCACGAGGTTTCCTTTTCATAATATCACTTTCTGGTTCTTCGTATGCTAATGATATAGCTGGTACCTAAAACAGCCAATTTAATTGTTTATATATATATATATACAGTATATTTATTAAATTAATAACTAAGATAGTTAAATTTACCATATCAGTACCCAAATCAATGCAAAGGATCGTAACAGTTCCAAGAGGTAAAGGTATTTCGGCCAATATGAATAATAGAAAAGGGGATATCTCTGGGATGTTGCTAGTCAACGTATAGGCGATAGATTTTTTCAAATTATCGAAAATTAATCTTCCTATTTAAACACATAAAAAATAATCAGACGATAAATGTAACCTACATATAATTTTTTAATAATTTAGAGTTATTTTTTTTATTTGGAAATTTGCCATTATTGCTCTAGTAAATTAATAGAGAGTAATTATCTATATTGAAGATGTAGAGGTTTTAACGCGTTAATTTAACTAGATTGGCATTCAGAAAGTGGAAGTAGAAATAAAAATGTGATATCGATATAGGCCTAATAAAATTACTGCTATAAAGATAAAAATATGGCATTATATATAAAATTGTATTTTACATTCGTAAATATATAAATTTTAATGTCGTAAAACAAAACAGTTTATGACATGATAAAATGTTTAATTAAAATATGATAAAAATTATTTCTCAATATTATTGAACCTTCTTCAACTCCGGTAACAATTGAAGCAAAGTTATCATCCAGTAGAATCATATCTGCAGCTTGCTTACTAACATCGCTTCCGGCGATACCCATTGCAACACCTATAAATAAAAATGGAAAACATTTTAAAATTAAATTAGTTAATTAAACTCATATGTTATATCGGTTTAATACTACCAATATCAGCTTTCTTCAAAGCTGGTGAATCGTTAACACCGTCACCAGTAACAGCCACGATGGCACCCAGCCTCTGACAGCTCTCTACAATAAGCAATTTTTGTTGAGGTGAAGTTCTAGCAAAAACGATTTCTGAGTGATTTTTTAACACTTCGTCTAATTGGTCTGGCTCCATTTCTCTTAGTTGTCCTCCATGAATTACAATAGATTTAGCATCTCTGAAAATACACGATCTATGAAAATGTTATAGATGTAATTAAATTCACTTTTTGTATTTCAATAAGTGTGATTTATCCGGTTTACATGCCTAGGATTAACAGAATCAATTGGTATATTTAATCTCTCTGCGATATCTTCAGCGGTTTCATTTCCTTCAGAAATTATTCCCACTGCTCGAGCGATAGCTTTTGCAGTAATTGGATGATCTCCTGTCACCATTATTACCTAGTATTTTTAATATTTAATATATAGATGGTTCACTTCAAAACAATAATATAATATAATTTAATTGATTACCTTGATTCCTGCACTTCTACATTTGGATACAGCATCTGGAACAGCAGCACGAGGTGGGTCTATCATAGCAATCAAACCAACAAATCTAAATCCTTCTAAAGGAAAATTCTCTTCTTCAGCATTGAAAGGATAACCAGGTGGATATTTATCAGTTGGCAGGGCATAATCACAGAAACCTAAAAAATGTTCAGCATGTTTTTCGTAATGACAAAAATTTGATCACCTTCAAACTATTCCGAAGTTTCTAATGAAACATATATCTGTTTTTTAAATAAATAAATAAATATATATATATATATATATATAGTTTCCGACTTATGACTGGTCGTACTAGTAGCCGAGAGGAAAAAACTGCTGAACACTGGTTAGTCGAATGTTTCACCTCACCAACGGGCTATCCGGATTTTTTTCATTTGTTTAACACCTAAATAGGACCATTTTCAAATAGAAAGTCCTCTCTGGTACTACGCTTTTTCACAGAATACAATCTCTCATCGCGAGTCGAACACAAAAAATAATGATGTAAACGGAATACAGTTCCTAAGATTATACACAAGACTACATAATACAGTTATGTGTGTGTTTAAGTACTTATTTGTACGCCTAACAGCCATGTTGATTGAGTTATTTACACAAACATGTCGTTTTGATTAATTAATTATGCTATTTTATGAATAAATATTCACTGACACAATAAGATAGTCAACCACGTTCAAAGGAAACAAAAATCATACGTGAAACAGTATTAAAATCTTATGAAAAATTGATTTTAGTTTTATTGTTAATTTTTATTTATTTAATTGCCTATTAATTAATTCATTTTAGCCTTATTATAAAACTAAAATTAAAATGATAATTTTGGACCGAGAAGCTCTCAGAAAGTTAGTTTGGTTTTCAAATTTGAACACTAATAACGCCAATAGTTTTAATTTTTATAAATNTAATAATAATAATAATAAATTAACTAATTAATTAGATAAATTTAACATAACTAATTTAAAAAGTTTAAAAGTTTTAGATGTTTGTATGAAAAGTTTGTATGTAAAGTACAAATACATATGAATGAAAGAGTGAGTAAATTTTTTTGAATGAATTGGAATGAAATTTGTAACGACAACAAAGTAACAGGCAACTTTTACGGTACTAAAATTTCATCCAAGTGCTAATTACCTATCACCCGTTCTCCCATTCCTCCCAGTTCTAGATAAGCATCGTTGAAGGCCTGTTTCATTTCGTTATCTAAAATCTTGCACTTTCCATTTATGAAGATGGTACTACATTTATCTAAGATACGTTCTGGTGCTCCTTTCATACATATCAAATAGCTGCTATCCGGTAATTTATGTATAGTAAGCTGTTAAGATAAATATGTTTTTTTTGTAACAAAGAATATACTTATTTTTGAAGAATTTAAATACACTTACGTGATATTTATTGGTAGAATTGAAAGGAATTTCGCACACTTTTGGATGCTGATTTCTATATTCTTCGACATTTCCGCAGGCAAGTTCCATACATTTTAATATAGCAGATTCTGATGCGTCTCCTGTACATTCTCTGTTAGAACAATAACACATTTTGTATTATTTATTTTATGTATATTTTTAAAATAAAACAATAGCATATAATTTATATCTAAGTTATATAAAAACTTAAATTTATATACTTTATTATACACGTATAATTTTAATTCTTAATCTTATACACTTTATCTATTTCTTACCGCATCATCACTGGAAGATTCTTCTCTCCTAGTTTAAATTCAGCTCGGCTGCATAGACAGGCTACACGAGCCAAAGCTTTCCAACCTTCTGAAGTCTTTTCGTAATTAATACCTTTAATATCGAGAATTAAATTTAAAAGTTATTATAACAAACTTATGGAAATTTAAAATTAATTTACCAGATTGATCTTCTGTAGTATCTGCTTCAATTATTTGGTTGTCAAACCATAAATGTGCCACAGTCATTCGATTTTGTGTGAGTGTTCCAGTTTTATCTGAACATATCGTCGACGTTGATCCTAACGTCTCCACAGCTTCTAAATTTTTTACCAAGCAATTTTTCTTAGCCATTCGTTTAGCAGTTAAAGTGAGGCATACCTGAAATGAATTACTTATTCATTATTATGTTAAAAGTTATTTAAAATTCACGTTCTTTACTTACGGTTACTGTAGCAAGAAGACCTTCTGGAACGTTAGCTACTATTATTCCAATTAAGAATATAACAGCATCCAACCAGTTATAACCAAGAATAAAAGCTACAATAAAAAAAGAAACTCCCAAAAACACAGCAACACCTGTGATAATATGGATAAAGTGTGAAATTTCTCTAGCAATTGGAGTATCACCCATTTGTAATCCAGATGCTAAATTAGCGATTCTTCCCATAACAGTTCGATCTCCTGTATATATGACAATACCCTTTCCAGTACCTAAATTAAAACAATGATAATAATAATTAAAAAATTGAAAAATTGAATTAAATATTAAATTTTAACTTGAAAGTACACTTTACTTTCGAGTTAAAATTTTTATAGTTAAATCTTTATAGTGATTTAAAACATTGATATCATTTTATTTATTTGTTTATATTCAAATTTCTCAAAGCTTTTAAATATTTAGAATCGTTTGGAAGTTAACATACTTGTATATCAAATTGGGAGAGTAAGTGCAGAGATTACTCTATAAAATTTTGAAGAAATTAAGAAAATTCAAATGCATATTCTCATATTTCTTCAAAACTTCTCATTTAACTCGGCTTTCAAATTGTTTACATTTTTATAACTGCGTAGTTTTCAAATTATTTTCAGATAATTAGGTGCGTTATTTAACAGATAAAGATACCTTCGACACAGTTTGTTGAAAAGAATGCAATGTTCTTCGTTTCAAGTGGATTTTCATGAGTACACTCTGAATTTCTCGTTTGCGGTTCAGACTCTCCAGTCAGTGATGAATTATCTACTTTAAATGATTGTGCACAGACAATTCTAATGTCTGCAGGAATTCTATCGCCACCTTTTACCTCAACGAGATCTCCAACAACCACTTCTTCTGCTGGCAAGGTTAATTTTTTCCCATCTCGGATTACTAGAGCATACTAAAATTCATATAAAGTTAATAATAATTATAAATTTATAAAAATTTCTTAGGAATATTTCTTACTTGAGGCACCATATTCTTAAAACTTTCCATAATTTTAGAACTTTTAGATTCTTGATAATAGGAGAAAACTGACGTTACAATAACCACAATAGCTAAAACTAGACCTAAATAAAGCTTAAAATACAGAATACAGAATGTTAATCGTTATTTAGAGGTTAAAGTAATAAAATTTTGAATGTTAAAATATCACTCACATTATCCATTTCGGGGTCTTCGCTATATAAAGCCTGAATAGAATAAGCTATAAAGCATAGAATAGCGCCTATCCATAACAACATAGAAAAACCACCGAAGAGAGTTTTACAAAATTTTACCCATTCTGGAGTCTGTTTTGGTGGAGTTAATGCATTAGGACCATCTCGTAAAAATATTTGTTTGGCTTTTTCTTCAGTCAAACCCTAAAAATTATAAATTATTATAAAATTGAATAATAACAGGTTTATTTTAACAATGCTTAGGAAAGATTAGAAACATGATCTTAAGGAACTGATTTTGTCGCAAATTTGTTTACTTAATTAAATAAATTGTAAAAAATATGTTTATTTTAAATTTTGCAATATCTGTTGTAAGATTTCTGCATATCAGAACCATTAACGAATGAATTAAAGGAAGTAAATTTTAATTGAACGCAATTAAATATCCTTTGTCATCAGTTATGAATATAATTAAAGTTTGTGCAATTTTTCAATGAAAAACACTACGAAGAGAAATTTACATATATATGTTTGTATATATACATTCTTTTCCATTANATATATATATATTTTTTTATTGCAGTTACGAGAAAACCGTAATGATTATAGAGAAAGATCCTTGACTTTAAAATTACAGGTTCTATCTTGCGTGGCGAGATTTAGTACGTTAAACGTACAATAGGTGGTGTTGGGATTTAGGGAAAAATCGTTTCGACAAAATTGTATTTCCTTCGTTTTAGGGAATTTAGAATATAAAACATCAATATCCTTTTTTTTATTATTTTTGAATTTATATTCACTAATTAAAATTAAAGATTTGTTCCGATAAAAAGTTTAAAGATAAAAAAATAATTGTATTATAAGGAATTAACCCAGGTTTAGGGATATTTTTAAGGAAATATTGTAACAGTAAAATGCTCAGCATTATAATTTTATAAGGAAAATTGAAAAATATTTTACTATTATGTTCTTACTGAAGAATATTCACAAACACAGTTTTAAATATTAACAAAAGAAAAAAAAGAAAAAAAAAAAAAATATATATATATATATATACAAGAAAATTTACCATTTCAACTTCTTGCTTAAGATCATCCAAATCTTTCTTTCCATGTTTACTGTTATTCGCATTTCTTTTAATCATATTCTTTGCACCCATTATTTAAATATTATTTAAAACACAATTTCAGCTACTGATAGGCAACAATATCATAGCATTGCTCCTGTTCGAATGACAAAACGATAACTCTACAAGTTATTTTGTTTACCTGTAGTTGCATAATATTCCCATACCAAAAATTTCCGAAACCACCGATAAACACGTGACTACTGTAAAGCACCATTTACAAACTGATAAAGCAGTTTTAACCCCTCTTGAATCAACCATGGGTATCGTTCCAATCTATACATACAACCTCGTCATGCTGATTATAATAACAAATAGCCTATACAGTTCTCTCTTAAAGTTACCGGATTTCTAAAATAATTTAAATAATTCTGAAGATTAATGTATTAAATTTCATTCAGAACTTATTTCAATAAATTTTATTTATTCTGTGCAAAATTTGTCATAAAATGTTTAAATATCTCTTTTAATAGACCAGTTTTCGAAATAATAAATTTCTGTAGACAAAACAATACTCTGTTTTATAATCTTTATATTTGTTTTGTTTTTAATTTTTACAAAATATCTGATATATAAAAATAAATAAATATTGATTTAGTTTACTTTAAAATTGTTTCTTAAATTTCAATAGGGGAAGAAAACTTTAATTAATAATTTAAAAAGTCAAGCATAATATTTGGAATAAAAAATCAAATTTTATAATATTTTACACAATATTATAATGCAAATTAAAGGAATACGTTCTCCTTCAACATGACAAAACAATTTTCTTAAAACGTATTAATTTTCATATCTTAGAAATTCTCTTCGAAGAACATATAAGTAAATACTGCAAATGATATTTCATAAAAACTGTTTTGAAAGTCATTTCATTTCCAATAAAAAAAAAAAAATATATATTAATTTACCA